CTTCTGATCAGAACTGCATAGATAGAAAATTTCTCAACCAACATCAAAATACACCTTTTTGTACAGTCAGAAGCAGTTATATCAATGCCACGGTTATGCTAGATTTTCTAATTCATCCGCGTCATCTGTATCCAACTTTTCTATCTTTCGGCCTGCAAAACAATAGCTTGAATTAGCACTGCACGCATTTACAATTGATGCTAGAATAACTGATAACATTCATGGGGATATTTGTTCCACATTGTTTACCAATGTAGTTAAGCCTCACTTACGTCACGTATTGATTACACATAGCCATACAAGTAATCAAGTAAAACTTCAAGTGTAACACCACATAAAAGCCACTGTTCATTATCACACGATACCGCCGAATCAAGCAACTGACCTATCCACCTAGCAAGACTGACAGGCAGCCCTAGGCAATCATTATCGTGATGGGACAGTCTAAAAGACAGCACTTGCCCTCAAAGCCCCCGCAAAGTCAACAGCAAAGTAGACAGCAAAGTCGCGAAGACTGCGTACACCCACGATAATCTGGCACAACTTGGTACAACCAACTACGCACAAACTTGGTCATCTAGCATGACCCACCTAGCAATGTACATCTGAGGGGACGTGGTAGCCATCTCGCACAGGCTGGACATTCCTGATTTTATCCTTGCCCCAATACGCTCCGATACGCCCCGATACGCGCGTGGGTGACTCACCGAAGTGCTCCTGTATGCGGTGCAGCATCGGCATCTGCCGTGATTGGATGAGGTTGATCGCGAGGCCCGTCTTGCCGAAGCGGCCCGTCCGGCCGATGCGGTGCAAGTACGTCTCGCAGTCGATCGAGTTCCTCTCCATCGGAAGGTCGTAGTTCACGACGACGTTCACCTGCTCCACGTCTATGCCTAGAGATCGAGCGCAGAAACGCGGAAGTGAGTAATGGGCCGTAACTGGAGAAGGAGGAAAGGGGAAGTCCGTAATAGGCCGTAACTGGAGGAGGAGGAAAGGGGAAGTCTGTAATAGGCCGTAACTGGAAGAGGAGGAAAGGGAAAGTCCGTAATGGACCGTAACTGGAGGAGGAGGAAAGGTGGAAGTCCGTAATGACAAAGAATTTTTTAATTGTAGCCTAAATGTGGCCCTTGGCTGCTTGTTTGTGGTATCCAGCCCACCCTGATTTTGGACATTTCAATTTCTGCTCTACATCCTATCGTCAAATCCCTACAAATCAGCCAGTCCTACTCAAATGTTACATGTCTCAGGCCACTGGGGCGACCCGATATCTCCAACGCTGAATTAGTAACCGTCATAGGAATCCTGCAATCAGGAAACGATAGACTCCGACGTGTCGTCCTGACGGAATCACAGTTACGGCGCATTACGGATTTCCCCTTTCTTCCTCCTCCAGTTACGGCCCATTACGGACTTCCTCTTTGCTCCTGGCCCATTACGGACTTCCCCTTTCCTCCTCCTCCAGTTATGATCCATTACGTACTTCCCCTTTCCTCCTCCTCCAGTTACGGCAAGAAGCCTACCTACCTACCCAAACTTTTCAGCCTGGGTTGCGTGAGGGCAAACTTTTTTTTTGAATGTGTCTTTTTTACAAATTCAGCATGGTGTCTACATGCTCGGGTGTGCCTGCGTGGAGATACCTTTTATGTTGAATATTTGTTTTGCTTGGTACATATAATGTATTGCCTACAGATTTATATAATGTACACTAATACAATTAAAAGAAAAAAGAAAAAAAGATCAATCAAATTTTTTAGTCGGCCCCCTTTTGGCGGGTCGGTCGGATGAGGGCAAACAAACAATATTTTTATTATGGCCTTACTGCAAGTCAAGTAGTAGAGGGCTTTCGTGACAACATGGTTCGTACCTCTCGCGCAGACATTTGTCGTGATGAGAACTTTCTCCTTGCCATCTCGGAACCTATCGAGAACTGCGACTCGCTGATCAACCTGCATGTCTCCGTTGAGCAGAGCCACAGCATGGCCTTCCTTGATCATCCGCTCAGCAAGCCAATTTGTCGTGTTTCGTGTCTGGCATGGAGAGAAAGTACTATTATGATGACCACCCAGCCCAGCCCAGCCCAGCCCAGCACAGCCCAGCACAGCCCAGCCCAGCCCAGCCCAACCCAGCCCAACCAGCCCAGAGAAACCAGCCCAGAGAAGATTTCTTCTTTATAGTAATAGAAGCTAGATTTTATTGTGACATCAGCAGTTATGAAAAGGTGTTTTTGTTGTTGTAAGTTAGAACTTAAAACAATAAACAACGTGACTTATAGCATCAGAAATAGCGCTGGCTCTTACAAACCAAACTATCACAGAGGCAGCACCATTGCAACCCACAGCAACACCGGGTAACACTATCATATCTCTCCCTCGCTCTCTCTCTCTCTCTCTCTCGCTCTCGCTCTCGCTCTCGCTCTCGCTCTCGCTCTCGCTCTCGCTCTCGCTCTCGCTCTCGCTCTCGCTCTCGCTCTCGCTCTCGCTCTCGCTCTCG